TCAGCGCCACTTACCTGGAGCAGCTCCGGGGTGGCAGCAGCGCACACAGGTGCCAGGCAGGCTCCCTGCCTACCCTGGCCCCGTGCCACTCCCGGAAGCAGCCGGCACCACGTCCCTGCGGCCCCTGGGGAAGGGGGGGCAGAGGGCTACGCATGCTGTCCTTGCCTGTGGTACCTCCACCGAAGCTCCCATTGGCCGTGGTTCCCTGTTCCTCGCCAATGGGAGCTGCGGGGGACAGTGCCTGGAGGCGAGGGCAGCGCACAGAGCCCTCTACCCCCCCACCCCCAGGGGTAGCAGGGACGTGGTGATGGCCGCTTTTTCGGAGTTGTGCAGCATCCGCGGCGCCACGGGGGTAGCAATCCCACGGGCCAGATCCAAAGCCCCGAGGGGCCGGATCTGGCCCGCGGACCGTAGTTTGCCCACCCCTGATGTAGAATGAACTAGCACTTCCATGGGTGAACCAGTTTTTCTCTCTGAAGCAGCACTCTCCTTAGGATTTCCCTCAAACATGACCATACACTTAAAAGTGGATAATGTTTCCAGTGGGAACACAGTCTAGTTTTGTACCAGGAGTACCTTTTAATTCTTTCCTGAATTTCTCATTTTGCTTTAGAAATCAACCTTGCATCCACTCCCAATTTCTGGGATCTTCTACCCTGAGCCTTTTAAGCAGACCAACCTGCCTGTGAAAGAGAAGGCTGTGGAATAGTTTATTTTAATCTCAAGAGACTACATCCTCAATAGACTTTTTTTCTAAAAAGACCAATTGAAAAGAGGAAGGGGTCATGTGGAGAACAAAAGTATTTGATCACGTGATTTAAGACTGTACTGTAGTTGGCTAAGTGAAGCAAGGTCTAACACTGAACTCTGTAGTATCTGTTTCTGTCTGTAATGTGATAACTTTGGAACTGTGGAAAGCTGCATCCCATCAATTTAAAAAAATTAGGAAGTGTCCTAGGAGGCATCATTAGGCACAACCCACAAGGGAATTGGGCGGGGGGGGAAGGGGTTACATGTGTAAAGTGGTGGTGGTTTGGGAAGCAGGGACCTGGTTGGGTGTGGACTTGAGGAGGAGCAAGAGGAGCCATGGGGTTGAAATGGGGGAACACAAACTGTGCCATGGATGGAATGGGGGACACTCATAGCCCTTGCCACAAGGGGAAAAGAGGCTGTGTGTGAAAAGGGAGTGCTCAGAGTCTCTTCAGTGAGGGGGAGAATAGAGGACAGTGGTTTAGGGGGAGGAGGAGGAAGTTGTAGGAAGTCCCTGAACTGGAGGGGTATGAGAAGAAGGTAGCACATAGGAAACTTGTGAGGGTGGCTGGGGGAAATAAGTAATGCAAGGGGCCCCTGTCATGTACAATGAGATCTGCCTCCAAAAGCTACAAAATGTGTGACCCTTGTGTGTGTGTGTGTGTGTGTGTGTGTGCGCGCACACACACAATGGTGTGGAGTGAAGTAATTTTGGAAGAAAAATATTTTAATTCCTCTGAGAAGTTTACCT